TCAAGGTGTCTGTATCCAATTTGGATTTCACAAAATGTCGCTTATCGGATAGGTCACAGTTCGATATTTGCTTTACTGGTTCGAGAGCTCCAATAATGTCTCCTTCTTTTATTCTTACTGTCTTTCCAACAAGAAATCTTTCTGGTTTATCTCCAATGAAATTACGTGTTAGCCCAACGCAGCACCCAGGATTTGTTTCTAATCTTCCGCAAATGATCTTCTCAGTACTTCCAGGAATCCTCACTGGGGTTGTTTGTGGCCAGGATCTTAACGGCATCGGATTCTTCTTGTGTTGTTAGGACAATTTCTTCATTACCAAATTTAAGGATGTTCATGGAAGGATCAAAGGAGAAACCATGTTGGCCGATCAAATCCATTCCCAAAATAAAATCATCTTCTATATCGGCGACTAATGTTCTGTGCCTGAAGGTGGTAGATCCAAAAGTAAGCTCAACCATAGCTTCTCCTAGAACTGGTGCAAATTCGCCGGTGAACAGTCACCGGCGTAGTGACAGGTTTCTAGTGAGCGGTTGGATTGCCCGAGACTTGACTAATGTTCTTTTAATTATGGAAACTTCAGCACCCGTATCAAAAGTGATAGTTTTCAATTCTCCATTGATTTGTCCTTCGAATGTTAATCCTCTATAATGACTGCCCAATGATTTTATGTAAACAACCCTGGGGGCTTCGTCATTACTAACCAGCATTCGCCCCTCCATACTGGTGGCCGATCCTCGGGCGAGGGAGTAGAGCTTCCCGAGAGAACAAATTTTTCGTCTTTATCATTCTTGGTCACTTTTCGATAACGTTGACAAGGACAAAACATTCGTTCTATCGGGGAGCTCTACTTCCCGACCCGAGGATCCGGCCACTGGTTAGTTCTCGTTTCCCTGTCTGTTATTAGGGCTGGCGTCTCTTGATCTCGAAAAGCGTTGGAAACGATCCCTTGATGGAGAGGGCATTCTTACTCTACAATCTCGTTGAATGTGTCCAACCTTATGGCAGCGATAACATTCTGATCGATTTCTTTGTGTTGGTGTCTGGAGTCGTTTCCCGTTTTTCTGTCTTCTCGTAATATTTTCTTTATTTCCTCCATGAAATTACTCATAAGGTTCTCGAAACTGCCATCCTCTTTTGATGATTGTTTTTCCTTTGGGTCCTCAATGGACACTGCTCGTATTCTGGGTCGTGAGGCACCAAATATTGCTTCCAGTTCTAATGCTCGGACAAAGGCTTCGCTACTTTGTCTGAACTTGGACATTCTTAGGTTTTCCTGGATCTTCGAATCTCTGAGACCATCAATAAACGCAGATACTGCCATCCATTCCTGCATGTCTTCCCCAGCTGCAGGAAACGCCAAACTCACTAGCCTTTTAACTTCCGATTCGAATTCTTGTAGACTCTCGCCGGGTTTTTGAACTCTTGATTTAACTTGAGTTCTGAATACTTCTTGTCTGTAATGGTCTCCGAAGCGCAGTTCTAAAGTTTGACTAAGATGCTGGTAATTCTGTTGGTAGATTGAAGGAATGGACCGAAGAAGATCTAAGGCTGGTCCTCGTAGTGCCACTATTAGTGCTGTAGCTTTTTCTTGATCGTTCCATCCGTTGGTATTTGCAGCAGCTTCAAATTGTCGAATATACATGGTCCAGGATGTAGAACCGTCAAAAGTTGGTGGTTTTATCTTCATACTGGAGAATGCTCCAACACTAACTGGATTGATGGACTGTATTTCTAATTTACGCACCTTATCTTCGAGTGCTTGAACTTGGTCCTCCATTTCTTGTCTTAATTGCTGAACATCGTCTTTAACTTCTTGAACATTGTCTTTAACTTCTTGAACATCGGTTTTGACTTCAGCTTTTACTTCCTGAACGTCGTGTTTAACTTCTTGCACATCGTCTTTAACTTGTTCAATCTTCTGATCTAGGTTAGCGACAGTTCCTTGTATGGTTTGGAATATTTTCTGCAGTCTTCCAAGGTCCTCCTGCCGTTCTTGTTGTCGCTTAGCTTCTTCTTGTTGTCGCCTAGCTTCTTCTTCTTGTTTCTCTTTTTGTCGTCTGGCCTCTTCTTGTTGTCGTCTAGCTTCTTCGTCTTGTTTTTCTTGTTGTCGTCTGGCTTCTTCGTCTTGTTTTTCTTGTTGTCGTTTGGTCTCTTGAAGTTCCAACATTTTGCGCAGAAGTTCTTCAACTTTTTGTTCGTCCATTTTGGCTTGTTGTCTTGTGATAGGCATATACAAAAGGTTCTAGAATTTCCCTTGAATTTTCTTCAAATATCTTTTCTGGTCTTTACTCGAAGTTCCAAACACGCCGGTGAAGTCACAAATTGGATAACTTGCTTTATTCTAGAATAGAATGTTCTGGAATTTTCTTGAAACTTCTTTTCTAGATGTCGATTGATACAGCAAACACGTCGGTGAAGTCACAATTTCGATATCTCCCTTGGTTTCCAAATAGAATTTTCTAGAACTCACTCGAAGATTCACTATCACAGTCTAAATCGGGTATAGAGTCACTTCCGGGGTAATTCACACGATCGGTTAAGTCTCTTTTTGTGATTGTCACTGTTTGCGCTGCACTAACTGTCCCAGTGTTCACTTAGTGTTCAGTTTTTATACTACACTAGTGTCCCCGCACTTCCGTAATTGGATTTCACTCTGCAGTCCTTTATATCCCACTTCTTGGCACCAATGTCGCGGCTTTGGATCGCCGGACAGAAATCTTGGGTTCGTGGTTCGTTTCGTTTATTCCAAAAATCAAAGTCCAATTAACACAGCAATAATTTATTCCACTTAACAAAACACTCTGACACTAATTACTTTATCAACAATCAAACTATTTACAATCACTATTTAAATCGTATCACAGTCCAACTGAAACTAACTTGCAAGCTAAAACCCGTCCTTATATATATATCCCCAAATATATTCCTGTAAAATCTAGAACACACACGATAATGTTATTTCTCGATTATAGTAGAATAATTCGCTAGATTCGAGTATTTTCACCGTCGATTCTTGACAGTCTGGCGGACGATATCGTGACAATACGTTTTGTCACTAAAACGACAGGTGCTTCTAAATAAGTATTTAAAATACTATACATGCCACAATTTGAAGAGATCGATTGAGGTACAGAAGCAAGGATGATACACACTACTACTGCTGTACTACAGGACATGGAGCTACAGGATGGCCTATCCTCATAGGCCAGTGTGTAACAAATCCCCCTCCTCTTCCCCCCTCCTTACGCCAAACTACCAGTTGTGACGTAGGCAGCATGTTATTTCTCGCCTTGACGTAGGCTCTTTCAACAGCTGAAGACTTAGTTATGAAGTCGGAAATGGTGACACACCAATATGGCGTCGATTACCAAAAACGAGGCCGATAAGCAATTCTGTAGGTGTGTATAATCCTTGCAGCTAACGACTCAATTATGACGTCGGAAATGGTGACACACTAATATGGCGTCGATTACCAAAAACGAGGCTGATAAGCAATCCTGTAGGTGTATATCATCCTTGGTACAAAAACGCCTTCTACAACTCAACTGTCAATATTACATTCCTTTTTATAACGTGTGAGCTGTGAACTAATATTAGGCGAGTTCGGAAAATCCTTCGCTAGTTAAAAGATGACATCATTGACGGAAGCTCACGTGAGCTTCCATTTGAAGTCATAGAAGATTAGGAACGATAAACCATAAGACGATAGTCGCTTTTCGTAAGCGCCGCGTTCGCCAATTAAGCCGACCGCCTAGGTTAATGACCAGACGCGTGACGTACTCCGGCCCACCGATCCAAAGATTTGGTACTAGTTACATTGTTCGACATTCCTCTGTAATGAGAATTCGAGAAGTTTAATAAAAAACTTATCGAAATTTATTGCATTAAAAGCCTATTTTGGCATTGGCACATCATTAAATGACTAAACCCAAGGTTGTTTGAGAGAGGTCGGTTGCCTGTTAGCTTTATGACGTCATCTGGGGTGCCTTAACACAATGCAAATCTCCATAAGGCTCCCCAGACGCGTCATCAGGTTACCCATTACAAGGCAACTTATAAACTTCAGAAACCTTGGGCTAAACTATATTATCCTCCTATAGCAATAACAATAATGCATAAAACTTGTTTCGAGTGAGCCAGGTGACGTCCCTAGAATGTGAGCTGGTGGTTTCCTTCATTAGAACGCCAATGGTTACCTGACGCCACACTTGTTTTTGCCTTATGAAACATCGCTCCTCATGGAAAGTGTCAGATTAAAAACGAGTAACGAAGGACTTTACGTCACATTATTATTTCTTTGGTCAAGATTTTTGACATTACAAAATGCAATGACAAAATTGAAGAAAAATATTGCTGAGACATACGTTTAAAAAACCCGAGAAAAAACCATAGCCATCTTTGATTTTTTTTTAAGACCCATTACAAGTGACACAAGATGAATTTCTTCTATCATAATAAAAATTCCAGAAAAATTCAAAAATAATGTTTTAAAAAGATTTTTTCTACTACCGTGCGTAAAGTACTCACTTCACGCACTATTCAGAAGACGTGAAATTTCATTTCACGCACTAGTGCGTAAAGTAATTCACTTCACACACTGGGTCGTAAAGTTATGTCAATGACAGATGTTGACACTGTCACTGGTATTTTTCTGGTAAATTACTTCACTTTACACACTTGTTGCATAAATAACTATTGTCATTCTTCAAATTGACAGTAATTTATTTTACTAATGAAATAGAGTGCAATTTAATGTACCTACTAGTAGTAAATGTATGTAAAACTACTTATAAAATCAAGTTAGAAATGATGTTAAGGGGTTTTAGTAATTTTAGTAAATGTATTGTAATTTTTTAGTAAGTATTGGTAACTCTGGTAAATGTGTGTAATTTTCGGTAATTTTGTAAATATCATTAAATATTTTGTAATTTTTTGTAAATATTATTTTGGTGTACACGATTGTTCCGAGTGGTTACCCCCTCGAAATTTAGTAAACTTACCCAAGTGCTTTCATAAAAGCACAATTCACAATCGCAAACTGTCTCAAAGTAAAAATAGTGCAGCATAAGTAATTGACGTTCTTGCAAAGAATTAAAAGGATTTATTTCTTTGTAAGCTATAGTCACTTCTTCGTTGGCTTCAATTTTTCTAATTGCCTTCACCAAAACCCTATCATTGCAGAGCCTAAAAAATATACCTAAAAATAATCACAAAAGAACTGTTCTAGAATCAGTAATTTCATAATGGAAATTACCGTTCTAGTGTACATAAGCCTTAAACTTACACTACAACAGCATTAGGGGAGCATGAATGATTCAGCATGGCCAATGTAGGGCAAATGGCTTTGCCACTAGTGCCTACAGTGTTGAATGAGTAGTCAGCTTCAAAGTTTGGGTATCTGAGCTGGACGCAATTCATTTGAGCTTGACAGTAATGCTTGACGAACAAACCTCCAACATAATAGTGTAGAATTGTTTCGTTTTGAGGCTGGAGTTCGCTGAAAAAGTTCGTTCTAACCATGAGGTAGATGATTGTGTGGGCTGCTTTCTACAACAATAATTTATGTATACAGCAAACTGATAGTTAATAGGTCTGTTTCTACAGAAATCACAATCTGACTAGAGTGAATTTCATTGGTTGAAACTAGTTTCCTGACTGTTTTCAACCAATGAAATTCGCTCTGACTGATTTGTGATTTCTGCGGAAACAGACCTAATATTATTTATAAATGCCAGTAGTTTGAAAATTCTATTGTTCATTCACAACATTATATAAAACCTTGCTAGTGAGCAAATTCCTTAATTCTAATCTCAAAAAATGAATATGAAGTTTCCTTTAAACAATATTAAGTTGAAAGAGAAAAACTCAATTAGAAACCTTGGTATGACAGTTTTATTCACTTTATTAATCACATAGACAAAATAGTGGGTGAGGCATTTAATCAAGGGGCAAACCACCTAGGAATTCTTTGCCAAAAATGTGGGGAATTTAGAGGAATTTGTGGGAAATTTAGAGGAATTTTTGGGGAATTTGAAGGAACTCATCGGAATTTGGGGAATTTATAGGGAATTTGGAGGAATTTATGGAGAATTTGGGAGAATTTGTAAGAAATTTAAAGATTTTTCATGTTGTTATTTTCCACTGAAAAAATTTGAAATTTTGAGAGAATGAGCTTCTCACCTACCTCTTTACATATAAAAAGTTTCAAAATTTTCCCTTCACTAGTTTTCCAGAAAAACTTTGAAATGTGTGAGACTATATTCTCAATTAATTCAGTTATTGTACGTTGATTTCCAAGATTTTTCATGTTACTGTTTTCCATTGGAGAAATTTGAAATTTTGAGAAAATGAGCTTCTCACCTTCCTCTTTACATGCAAAAAATTTCAAAATTTTCCCTTTCCTAGTTTTCCAGGAAAACTTTGGAATGTGTAGACTGTATTTTCAACTAAATCAGTTTTTGTAGGTTGATTCCCAAGATGTTTCATGTTGCTATTTTCCATTAGAAAAACTTGAAATTTTATAAAAATGAGCTTCTTACCTTCCTCTTTACATGCAAAAAATTTCAAAATTTTCGCTTCACTAGTTTGCTAGGAAAACTTTGAAATATATGAGACTGTATTTTCAATTAACTCAGTTTTTGTGAGTTGATTTCCAAGATTTTTCATGTTACTGTTTTTCATTGGAAAAATTTGAAATTTTGGGAAAATGAGCTTTTAAACTTCCTCTTTATATGCAAAAAGTTTTCCAGAAAAAATTTGAAATGTGTGAGACTGATTTTCAAAATTCCTCATGTTGTAATTCTTTACTGAAAAAATTGGAAATTTTGGGAAAATGAGCTTCTCACCTTCTTCTTTACCTGCAAAAAGTTTCAAAATTTTCCCTTGACTAGTTTTCCAAGAAAACTTTGAAATGTCTGAGACTGTATTTTCAACTAATTCAGTTTTTGTAGGTTGATTTCCAAGATTTTTCTTGTTGCTGTTTTCCACCGAAAAAATTTGAAATTTCGAGAAAATGAGCTTCTCACCTTTCTCTTTACATGTAAAAGGTTTCAAAATTTTCCCTTCACTAGTTTTCCAGGAAAACTTTGAAATGCGTGAAACTGTATTTTCAATTAATTCAGTTATTGTAGGTAGATTTTCAAAATTGCTCATGTTGTAATTTTTTACTGGAAAATTTGAAATTTTGGGAAAATGAGCTTCTCACCTTCTTCTTTACATGCAAAAAGTTTCAAAATTTTCCCTTCACTAGTTTTCCAGGAAAACTTTGAAATGTGTGAGACTGTATTTTCAATTAATTCAGTTATTGTACGTTAATTTCCAATATTCCTCATGTTGTTATTTTCCACTGGAAAAATTTGAAATTTTGGGAAAATGAGCTTCTCACCTTCTTCTTTATATGCGAAAAGTTTCAAAATTTTCCTTTTCTTTAGAGGAATTTGTGGTGTATTTGGAGAAGTTCGTGGTGGGGTATTTGGAGGAATTTGTAATGGGGTATCTAGAGGAATTTTGAGGAATTATGCGTAACAAAAAAAAATCCTTTTGAGGAATTGTTTGCACCAATTCTGGGATGGTGGTTTACCCCTTGCAGATAGTATTATAGGGTTTATCCGAGGGGCGGTTAACTGGTCAAAATCCGTGTACAAGTTGGTCAAAATCCCTAAAAATCGTTAAAATCCTTAAAAAATTTATAAAATCCCACAAAATCTCTTGAAATCGCATAAAATCCTACAAGATCTCACAAAATTTTATTGAAACTAAAAATATCCCGCAAAATCCTATAAAACCATCAACATTCCTAAAAAATATTTTCTAAAAATTCCCAAATAACCTTTGGAATCCCCACAAATCTGTTGAAATCTCTAAGAATCTCTAAAAACTTTTCAAAAACCCCTAAAATAATCCAAAATCATCTAAAATTTAAAATCATCTGAACTCCACTCCAACTCCATTACTACTAAACTTCGGAGCGGTTAATTGGTCAAAATCTGTGTACAAGTTGGTTAAAATCCCAGAAAAACTCGTAAGATTTACTTAAAATTTCTGAAAACCTTTAAAATCTTTGAAAATCTAACAAAATCTTAAAAAATTCCTTAAAATAACTTAAAATCGCATAAAATCCTACAAAATCTCACAAAATTTTATTGGAAAAAAAAAATCTGGCAAAATCTTATAAAAATCATTAATATTCCTAAAAAAGAATTGCTTCAAAAATCCTTTGGTTTGGAATCCCCAAAAATCCGTTAGAATCTCTAAAACTCCCTTAGGATCTTCTAAATTCCCTAAAATGCTCCTAAATCACCTAATTTTATAAATCTAAAATCTTTTAAAATCCTGTAAAATCATGTAAAGATTTTCAAAATCCTCAAAATCCTACAAAATCAATGAAGATTTAAAATATGTGTAGATATTTTAGAGAGTTAATAACCACCCCTCAGGTTTATCTATCGTAACACAAAAGATATGGGCATTTCTACAGCCGAAACTTTTGTATGATTCACTAGTTAGGACAAAGCTAGAATATGCATCAGTTGTATGGGACCTATATTATCAGAGGTCAATAGAAAATTGTCAAAAAAAAATTTTGAAAAGATTACACTTTAGGAGATTCGGGGTTTACCCAGTTGATGTACCATATGATGTGTTGTGTATCCAACATGGTTACAGTAGATTAGATGTAAGATGAAAATATTTTAACATAATGTTTTTGTATAAACATGTAAAAGATAAATATCTGTGGAGCTTGATAAATATAAGAGTACCAGATTTGACAACAAGACAGTCACAGATATTGACTTATGATACACCAAGAACAAATTCACTTATAGTAAGAATGTATGATATACTTAATCAATGAAACAAATTGTGATATTTTTCAAAGTAAAATAATTTTACTTAAGGAGGAGTTACAAAGTAGATTAGGATGTTAGGAGGGTTGTTGGGTAGTTTGACATTATCTGTAAATGCAAGATGTAGAGGATATTGAATAAATAAATAAAAGAATTCTCACCCTTAAAATTTCGTAGACCCTCAAAATCGGCATTTTATCAAAATTAGTCTTCAGTCTATAAACGAAGGGATAATTATTTCCGTTGATACCCCATTTATCGTGGTTGGCAGGAATATCGTGATTGAAATTGTACCTTGCACCATACAAAATCATCCTCAATGCGATATAACTAGAAAATTCAATATTTATTTCAAAAAACAACATTTTCAACATTATTTTACCTGTGATCACTATCGTCCAATCTCCAATAATGCCTCTGGAATCCTTCACACTCATACTTATGATAATCGTTATAAGACTGTATAAGACATCTAGGAGTACAATAAATGACAACATTACAATGCGAACAAGCCAAATATTTATTAACCGCAAAGGCACAGTGATGGCACCTGAACATCTTATGCTCTCCATCAACGCAATTGCAAATCGGGTTCACTTGTAACACTGTTGCAGTTTCGTCTATTAAAATATCCCCTTGATTGACCTGAGAAGTTGTTACCAGGCATTTGCCTCTATTATGACTCTCTACTAAATTGAGACAGGAATTTGCAAATTCAATTTTATCGTTGGTCTGTTTCATGGGGGCCACTTCAAAGTTTTGCCCTTCGTTTTTTGAGTCTTTCTTTACTTTGCTTGATAGTTCGCAGGGCAGTAGATAGGGCAATTCGTTTGCTTCGTTTGCTAGATATCTGATTGAATTGTCGTCCATGCATTGGCTGTACAAACACAAAAAGTGAGTATAGTATTTCCAAACTCAATTGGAACAAGGTACCAACTGGTGGCTGACTGGTCACTGGTAATTTCCATAAGAAATACACTGCCACTAGTCAGCCACCAGTTATAATTTATGTTCACCTTGTTCCAAATGACTTTGGAAAAACTATACCTTCAAGTTGAGATTTGAATTGAGTACTCACTTGATTTTTGAGTAGTACTTTTTGAAGGCATCGAATTCGTCAGTGTAGAACTTTTTCAGGCCAAAGATTTCTTTTGGTATTGATAGGAGACGGTCGAAATCTGGCAAGGGGGCTTGATGGTGACCCATTGTGATGGATTTTCTGGAAATGGAAATATTCCAGTTTTTATACACTTTAAATGCAAATAATTATAATAATAAATTATTTATTTACCCAAAAAAGTAAGTTTAATCCATGGAAAATTTCCAGATTTCCAGAAAATCCAGTTTTTCTTTTTTTGCACTAATTTTCCTGCGCCCACTTTTGTTGTGGAATCGAGGGGTGAAACTGTGCAGGGAGAGTTCGGCGGCTGCGTAGCAGCGCATTTCACTCAAAATAACCCCCTATCCAGAACTATCCACAGTGTCCACATCCAGAATGAATCCAGAGTGAGGTGAGAGTAGTATAAACATAAACAAAAACAAATAATGAATGAATGGTGCAGTGCTGCCATCTTGTGCTGTTGTCGTGTAGTATGGGTGAGTTCGGCTTGCTTACTCCGTGCACTCGGAGTGACTTCATTCGCACTCCAGCCGTTCGGGTTGAGGTTCGGGTATTGCTTTTTACGGTATTAGGGGTGACTCCATTAGCTCTGTTCACTCCACTCCAACTCCGCGCTGAATAGCCGAACTCAGCTTATATTGAAGATATTTGGAGCGAAAAAAATATTACTCCGTTCACTCCGAATCAGATGTTGGGTTCCGAATTGGAATGGATTTTTGTCACTTGACATGATCTTACTCGGATCACTCCGAACTAGGTTAGGTTTTGGATTAGAGTATATTATTCACCAGTGCTGCTTTCCAGTATGCACGCTGGCGCGCTTTAGAGTACTTCGGGATCTTCGGGAGCGCCAGGCACTAATTAGTTGTATTCCTTTCAAGAGCTTGAAAAACTCGAGCTACTCGCTTCGGTGCTTAGTCGCCCCCGATTTGCAGGGAACAGATACGTGTTGCAACAAACCGGAGCTGTTCCGGAGCTCCTCCTAGGTGTGAAAGGAATACAACATTTGTACCGTTCCAATATCATGACATGAGACGCTTGTCCCCTGTAACTTTTGGAGTAGATTCTTTTTAGTTTTTTCCCAGTGGAAAATATTCTACTCGGTTTACTTCAAACGTGTGTAGAAATTGGAGATGTTTTCTGGACTTAAATACCTACACTAGAATCAGGAATAGAGTGGAACTCTAAGGTAGAATCCAATGACGTAGAATCTTTTCAGATCTCTCTATACTCGAACGAAACAATACTAAACGATTTACTCCAAAATAATGGAGTGAAACCGAGTAGATTTTTATATTACTACACTGAGTTCGGAATTAGAGTGGATTTTTCTCTAGCCATGAATGTGGCTATCTATCAGCAATAGTTTTATTCCTTAGTGCTCGTTCACATTGGCACCGCTCGAGCGGTGAGCGTTGCGCGATGCCGCTGTAGCGGTGCCCAAAAATAATTTTAACATTATATTTCGAGTGAACATGTTAACACCGCGGGACGCGCCGCTTCAGTGTGACCATGTTCATTTGAAATATAATGTTAAAATTATTTTTGGGCATCACTACAGCGGCATCGCGCAACGCTCACCGCTCGAGCGGTGTCAATATGAACGCGCACTTAGAGCAGGTAAAGCGCTGTCCTACGTACAGGACTAGGAACGCGCCATTCTACATTTACCTGCTCTAACCGTGCGTTCAGTATTTTGAGAGTTCTCTGAGCTTGAATTTACCGTTAGTTTATTTAAAAAGTATACTCGGTGCAGGGTCATTCGCGTTCGTTCACTAAAATTGACGTTTTCAATTAAAAGAGATGGACGATAAAGTATGAAAACATTCAGATTCCCGCCAACATTTGCTTGCTCGTCAATGTCAAGTGTATAGGGTGTTTAGCAATCCCCTGGTTTTTATTCTAATCGGTGACTCCACCGATGAGTTAGGTATCTTTGTTGGGTGAATGGAAAATGACAATGACCGACATAGAATGGTGAAATTTGAAATTGGAATGAAAATGTGGGAAGTAAACAGCTTCCGCAAACTAAATTTGAACGTGGATATCTTTGTATACTTGATGGGCCGTGAATTTCCCTTACTTTTGCGAGTATCAGTTCTGATTTTGTGTATCCAAATTTTGACAAATCTAGGATTTGATAAAAACTTATGGAAAGACACGTCCGCCGGTGAACAGGAATGATTTTCACGAAAAGGCACACTACACACAATCACCATTGTTAGGAAAAAACCTTGAAAAAACCGAGGAAATAATAGTTTCCAGTCTCATACATATAAAACTCTTGTCAACAAACCACTGTCAATAGCTGTCAATCATTGTTTTCATACTCTTTTGGCATCTGACAGTCTGACGCCAGAGAGAGAGGCTTCTAAATTGAAAAGGTCAATTTCTGACACTTTGATACAGCATTCAACTGCTCTGTTCGCTCGCTAAGGGGGTTTTACATGCTGCAATAAATCTTGCAGTTAGACGGTGCAAGTGCAAATACCTGCGAGACTCTTTCTGTAAGATTTCTTGCGCCGTCTTGCGGTTTGGTTTTACATGTGTTTTGAAATCTTTTAATTGCTTTCTTCTGCCAACATAAAGAAAAAAAAATTATAGGAAAACAGAACCTTACTTTTCAATACCTATTCTTGTTGGTGTTGGTAGTTGGTACTTGTTTACTATTACTTTTGTTGTATGTAAAAAATGAATCGTATTGTATCTCAAAAATTAATAGTAGAAATAGAAAAAAGGTTATTGCTGCTAGTCTTTGCATCATTATTGGTGCCTCCACTATGTTACAAGAAACCATTGTATTTGCCTACGATACGTCGATACCTACGTGTTGATGATTCTCAGTATAATAAAATAAAATATCTCTACCTGCATATATATTGATTCAAACAGATATGTCATTGGTGCCTACCTAATATCATTATTTGTTTCCTATGAAACCTAGGTACCTACCGAGGTATCTCTACCTATAAAAGTAGATTATTTTCAGTGTATAATTAAATAAATAAATGATCTCTACTTAGATTTATTTGTATTTTAAGTTGATAGTTGATTCAAACACGGCTCTGATATAAGTAGGTATACCTAATCTATCCTTATTAATCTATAAAATATAAACATAATTTCAAAAGTAGTAACTTTTATTGAAAGTTGGCATGCCAAAAATTACCAAATTTTCCCCCAAAAATAGTCTTGCAGAGTCTTGCACTTGCAGAAATATCGAACAGAACCGATAAGTTGCAATTGCAAGAAGTCTTGCGACTTGTCATCAGCTGGGTTGCAACTGCGCATGCCTTTTGCAAGAGTTCTTGCAACTTGCACCGACTTGCAGGTACTCTTGCAGTATGTAAAACCCCCTCTAGTCACGTGATTACGACTTTGTTCAACACGCTCTGCTCTTTGATCAAAATACCGAACGCAAGGTAAGTTTTATTCCTATTTGTTGCACCTGAAGTGCTCAAGCCCGTACTCACCATCACCATTTAAATGCACAGAAGCCAGCGCCTCTGTTCTTTTCAATTCGGGGTCGACTAACACCGGAGCGAGTAGCTCTAGTGTTCTAATTCTAAACTCTTGAAAGAAATAAAATTATGACCGTTTCCACCAACTATTTTAGGGAACCCCTTACGATAGGTATTCCCTAAAATGACATTTTCACGTGGAGAAATGTCAGTTTAGGGAATACTTATCGTTAAGGCTCCCCTAAAATAGTTGGTGAAAACGGTTATTTGTCCACCTTTTTCTATTTCTTTCCCTAAAAATTTCTGATCGATAATAATCTTACTCCGAATCAGTGGTGGGGAGTACAAAAAAACCAATGCTCAATGAATGAAAATACACTCAGAGTCCGGATACCGCACCCGATTCGATAGTATCGAACCGTGAACCGTTCTAGAACGGTAATTTCTAGTCGGTTAATTCATTTGTCAAGTAGGATAAGGATTCAACTTATTAAAAAATAAGAAAAAATAAGTGTGCCTCTGGAAATTACTGGTTCTGGAACGGTTCTCATACCTGAGCCGCTTTCCAGTATGGGAGTGTGACGCCCGGAGCTACTCGGGGCGTTGAGCTCCCGAGCTGTACGTATGCGTCAACCTGTCAGCTGTCACATCCGTGGGTGGCTATTTATCTATTTATTTCATGTTATATCTCAAGATTGAACATTTTAAAAAATATAGTTTTGATTTTCTTTCATTTTTGATAAATAAAAAAATAAACTGCACAAACAAACAGCCCAGGGACTCCGTGTCATGTAGAATTCTACATATCGACAGGATTCTAGGGAGCAGTGCAGCATTAGGCAATTCAATGCATCTGTCAAAAAGGAAAATTCAATATGGCGTGGCGGCCAAGCAAGTTTGTTTTGAAATTGTGTTTATGCGTATATTAAATTATTTTGCTTAGAGTTTTGCTTGCAACTTTGATTTTGATTATTTAATCAGATATTTGTTGACGAGGTACGTAAACTATTAAATCGGGCAGAAACTAGATATTTTTTTGTGTTTTTTGCAGGGATGTGCGTCTACACGTAGACTTTCATTGTCTACTTTACGTGTAGACAATGTAGACAACGTGTCAACAATGTAAAATAATATAAATGACGTTTAATTCTAACCTCACACTTTCCTTTTTTTTTAATTTTTTTTTATTTTTTTATTGGTTTTTCTCAAGGGTTTTTCTGATATTTTATAATCAGTGAATGCTTGTATCGAAGTGATAGTGATATTATAGTAACTTTTGATATTTTTTTTCGAATTTTTTAATAGTACATTAAAATACAAGTTTCATAAGACGCCATTTTATCGCACGAGCCCTATATTAGAAAACGAGCCGGAGGCGAGTTTTCTAAAGGGCGAGTGCGATAAAATGTCTTATGAAACGAATATTTTATACTATTTTTTCTATTTTGTTATTGTTTAATTTAAAAAAAACAAATTTTTCTTGAAAATTTTATTCTCATATTTCCTGTTTTCATAGTTTATGTTGGTAACACTACATGCCAAATATAGAAATCTTCTATTATAAAATCGCGAATGACAGTTCGATGGCCATCAGTCAGCCAGTGTTACCAACCTCCGATAAGTAAAAAAGGAGTGTTACAAAGAGCATCTTTTCGAAACTACTTTTAGTGTCGAAAAGACTTCGATATGACACCAAAATAGAAAAAATAAGTTTTACGCCGCATGTAGGCAATAGAGAGTTCTCGTGCCGTCCAAATTTCTAATAACGTTACGCTATTTGACAGTTAAGCATGCGCAGTTGACGAAATCAATTCCCCTAATGGTTACCGTTAGCGTGTCCCGCTACCTTACGTAGGATACCGTGAGCAATACCGTAACGTTATGTTATTCCAAAACGGTCAAAAATAGTCTGGGAAGCCGCCCGCAGGCTTTGTTTACATTTGTAATTTTTGTGAATA